CTCTGCGTCCCCCCCCCCCCCCCCCCGACCTTGTACACCCTTTCTGTGACCAGCTCTCCCCCTCTCTGTCTCAGAATCCTCTGTCCATGGATTCCGCCGGGGCAGGAGTGCCTGGTCCAGCTCTGCATTTCAGGGCCCGGCCAGTCTGGCTCAGAACAGGGGTGAGGGGATGGTGAACAGATCCCACGACCCAACACTGGCTGTACATGAGTGGGGCTGAGCTCCAGTCCTGCTGACGCCCCAGGTGCGGCAGGAAGTTCTGTGGAGGCCTGGTTGGGACTATTCAGGGTCCATGCCTGACCCACAGTGGGTAAAAGAGCTGAATGAACACTGCTGAGTGGTGCCTTGGAAAGCTCCAGATCCGGGAATCAGGATCCCTGGGTTGGGGTCCCTCCTGTGCTCCCACCAGCCAGGCGCCTCTAGGTGAGTCCCTTCTATTCCTCCTCTCTCCCCGCCACCAGCCAGGAGCCCCCAGGTGACTCGGCTTCCTTGCTGACTCTGTTTCCCTTGTCAAGTGGGGGTAACATCGCACACCTCGTGGGGCTGTGCTGGTGAATCCACGGGGCCCGGGACCACCAAGTGCCTACTCTGTGCTAAGCCCCAAGCTCAGGTCTTACACACAGTGTGCCCTCAGGATACACCGCCTGTATCCCACATGGCAGCCTGGGTGCTGAGGATGCTTTTGTGCTGCTGCCAGAGGGACAGAGACGCAGAGTGAACCAGGGAGAGGAGGGCCTCGCCTGGCCCCTGGGAGCTGCAGGCCGGTGGCAGCGGATTCTTAGAAAGAACTGAGCAACATGTCAAATGGTCATCTCCAGACCCTCTCACGACAACACTGACAGTCTCGTTGCACGAGCACGGGACTCAGCGTCTCGGCATGTGCACGAGCTGGGCACTGTGCAAGCTCATGCCAGGGCCTGTCCTGAGCACTCACGGCACCCTGTGAGGGGTGGCCCTCCTCCCTGAGTGACCTGGTGACACTCAGGTCACTCCACTCGGCCAGCACGTGACGGGGCCAGCATGCCGCTCCAGCCCGTGGTGCCGGCTGCCAGTTCCACGGCTCTGGTTACCAGTTCCGTGGAGCAGCTACACTCCACAGACGCCCATGCCCTCAACTACCGGTTGAATAAAGTCCCTTCCATCCCTCTCGGAGCCCCGTCATGCCAGCAGAGCAGGGCACCACCCTTCCCATTTCACGAGGGAAGCAGAAGAGCAGGAAAGGCCTGGAACCGGGTTCCCAACTCTGAACCGAGTCCTTTCCGCCAGGTGTAGGTGGCTGCTGAGAGCAGCTGGGAATGCCAACCCCTCCCGGCGGCTGCAGGGAAACAGAGGCCGGGGTGACGGCATCAGTCCCCAGGCTGGGCTCCTGACGGATACCGCCCCCTGGACAGATGGCCATCGTGAGCCAAATGAACCGCAGGCAAACCTGCTGCGCAGGTCAGTGTTCACTTCCAAACCCCGCAGACTCACCCAGGGAAGCGTCAAACTCCGGTTCTACGGTGAAAACCTCACGGGCTGGGAAGTCGAAGATGTCTTGCTTGAACTGCAGCTGGCAGCCGAGGAGGGATTCTGGGTGCAGGGCTGCGATGCTTTCCACCTGGCCGGGGGAGCACTCACCTAGAGACGGGAGGGGGTGAGAAGGCCGCGCACCCAGGCCCCCGAGGCCCCCACCTGCAGAGCCCCAGCACGAGGACATGAGAGCAGGCCACGTGGAGGCTGGCCAGCCTGAGAACCGGACCTGTGCCCACATTCCTCCTGATGATGCCGCAGTTTATAAAAGCTGAGGACAAATTACTCATTATGTGGGAATGGGGGGCATCCTGTAGCATGGACAATTTCAGCATTTTTTCAGAGCCCACATCCAGGGGCACGGCAGCGGGTCGAGCCCGCTAGTGCAGGTCGTCTGCTCCTGTCAGCAGGGAAACGGGCAATTTATCCCTGGACATCAGGAGGGCACTAGGTCCCCACTAATACCCTGAGCATCGTTTGGGCAACGGCACAGTGCTGTCCACTTGCACTGGAGCAGGGAGAGAGGTGACCATAAGGCAGTAGAGGTGCATCAGAACGACGACAGTGGTATTGAATTCTACCAGTTAAGTGATTTTTTTAAAAAACAGCCTGTATTGATGCATTTATTTCCGGCAGCTGCTGTCCAGGGCTGTCACAGGCAGGGGATGAGGTCGAACGTTCTATGCATGACTTGGGAGAGGTAATTACGAAAATCAAAATTGGGGGCGAGGCCTGCTAAGCCACATTTTCTGGGATGAATAGTGGCTTTCTCCACTTGGGTGCCCTCGGGCTGACGTTGCACCTCCAGCCCAGAAACAGGCAGTTTCACGGCACTGGGCTTTCAGGAAGATCCCTTCACTGCTTCTGCCTGTGGAGGACTCGAATTTCTAAACAGCTGGAAAGGGTGGGCCAGCGGGGGTTAAATGCCCGCCTCGGAGTCAGCAAGTTTGAGTAGGAAAAGCAGCAAAACCCCGTCACAAGGGCCCGAGGCCCCTAGCCTGGCAGGGCCCACGCGGGACACACGACCCCTCACTCCTTACCTCTCAGGTTAGAGCTCCGGTCTCCCACTGTGACCATCACTTTGGAGGCCGCAACCTCCTGGAAGCTGGTCTGGACGGGGCGGGCGTACCGGGCCACGATCCTCTGAGGGAGGCTGACCACTATCTGGGGGGGAAGCCGAGGCAGGCCCTTGAGCGCTGACCGTGCAGGCCGAGCGCCTGGGACACAGGTACTGCCCTTCCCGTGGTACAGGGGACAGGACGGAGGCTCCGGGGCTACATAACCTGCTCGGACGGGGCAGAGCTGGACTAGACCCCAGGCTGGCCTGACTCTCCCTGGAGCCAGCTGCCCCAGCAGCAGGGCAGGGCGACACCAGGCCTGAATGCAAGCAGCAGTCGGGGCGGGCTGCAGACTTTGGCTCCCCTGTCAGTTATGATCGCGTCTCTGCACATCAGTTGGGTTACTTAATCTTTCAGCAAAGAGAGAAGGACCCATTTTACTTCACTGCCATTTATTCAGAATACATCAGCCTGACCAAAATGCAGACCCACACGGCCCAGTGGTGGCGGCCGAGGCTCATCTCCCCAGGTTATCTCCCGGCTCACCCCTCCCATCTAACCACTGAGCACCTTCCTGAGGCAGGACGAGCCTTCCTAGGCTGGGTTCCCCGTCTACCCTCCTCCAGGACCAACACCCCGCCCTGCAGGCCCAGCTGTGGGCCACCGCCTCCCGGTGGAAGGCCGTCTCCGGCTCTGGGCAGGCGCCGAGCACTTCCTGCCCACCACGGGCCTGCTCCCACCAGCACGTGAGTCCCTCAAGAGCAGGGACGGGGTCTCACTCCTCCCCAAGCTCCTGCAGACCCTGCAGCTGTGGCCGATGCTGAGCTGGAGGGGCGGCCCATCACCCTCCAGACTGACCGCAGTCACCTGCACCCCTGCCCGGGTCCTTCCCGCTGCCCCGGCACTTCCGCTGGGCAGTCTCCTGCCCCGTCCTCCTCCACACCTGGCAGAGGGCCCCAGGCCTGGCCCCGTTCCCTCCTGCTCCGGTAGGCCCTGCGTGTTCCCGCCACCCCCAGGGCTTCAGACCCACGTCTGTGCTGCAGGCACCCCACCCTCCACTGTCTCCAGCTTTGGGCCCCGGAGCTCCAGACACGCTGGCCCAGCTGCATCACCACCAGCCCCACATGGAGGAGCTACAAACACCTCAAACTCCCCATCGTCCTCCCCCCACACTGGCGCCTCCTTCTGTACTCCCCTCTCTGCAAAGGGCCATCCTCCCGCTCGTCGGCCCAGCCAGACCTGGAGACTCATCCCCAAGGCCTCCCTCTCCCAAGCCCTGCTTCCAAACGGTCACCAAGCTCTGATGACCCTCCCTCCGGAGTCTCTCCAAACCCGCCCTTAGTTTCAGCCTCCCCAGGGGTGCCAGTGAGGGCCCATCCTCTGTCTCCCAGCTGCCACCCTGCAGATACGCCCCCTCCCTCAGGCTCTTAGACTCAGCCAGGCACCAGGCAATCTTTCCAAACATACTTCTGATCTACATCACTCTTTGCCTTAAAAAAATCTCTGATGAATCCCTACCGTGTCTGGCATCAGTTTCAACATCTTTACCCCGAACAGCAGCAGCAGCAGCAGCAGCTCATACCCACGGAGCACGTGCTCTGTGCTGAGTACCATTCTAAGGGCTTCGCACACATTAGTGATTCATTTAATCCACACAACAATGTTAGCCCCATTTTACCAGTAAGAAAACTGAGGCACAGAGAGGTCAAGTAACTTACCCAAAGTCACACAGCCTCTCAGTGGCCCAGCTGGGATTTGAACCCAGGCAGCTTGGCCCCAAAGCTTAACCACTGTCGTGATCTGATCGCAAAGCTCGCCTCCGCTCCCACACACCCCGGGTTCCAGCCCCAGGGCTGGCTCTCGAACCCTGCCCACCTTTCCCGTGCGGTGCCCTCCTCTGCCAGCTCCCCCAGCCCTGCCCGACCACCCTCCGGGGCTTCTTGGGGGTTCGGGGGGGACTGCTTTATTCGTCTCAAGGTGCCTCTATCTTCACTGGGCTCGCCCGCACTGCAGGGTCGCAGCACTAAACACACCCGCTATTAAGTTAAACTGCTAGATTCCACAGGGCACACACTGCTCTAAAAATGAGACGCGTGGAACGCAGCCAGACTCTGCTCATCGATTCATTCTCGGCTGG